CTCCCCTACCATTTCTATATATATCATTTCCGTTAAGTTAACCATCTAAATAGGTCATGGTCCGTTCACTCCTCCTACCCCAATATAAAGCACGCTTAAGAGAGATATGAAATTAACCCCTCCCTATACTCTACCTTGTCTCTTTAACTACAACCCTCACCCACCCACCCTGTTAAATTACAAAAATTACACTACCCATCAATTTTTAATCTCATTTTTCCTTTCATTTCGTTGTTGGAAGTGTTACCTGATGATCTGGAGTCCTTTAAAAGGATTTTGGTGAAATAAATTATTGTAATGGTACTTTAAGGTGGTCTGTTTTTCATTAAATAAATAAATAAATTAATAAATATATATATATATATATATATATATAAGTGAAGAGGTTATAGTTGTCCCAACAAGAGAAAAGTGTGTATATTCAAAAGAAGAGAGAAACCACAAACATTTTGGGCTGTAATGTGGATTTTTAAAAAAAATATTATGCTTTATTTTCCATATATTTTGCTACATGTGTTTCCGACAACTTAGGAAATATGTGTATATATATGTATGTATGTATGTATGTATGTGTGTGTGCGTGTGTGTGTATACTGATATCTTGTAACTTCAGAAGTATATGTGTGTGTATGTGTGTGTACTGATTCCTTGTAATAGGACGGTATGTGTATGTAGAGAGGAAATGTGCATGTTTATATATATATATATATATATATACACATATTGGCAAAAATAACGGGAACACATGCAAACACTGCACAGCATAGGGTGTGTGTGTTTGTGTACAAATGTGTTTACTAATTCCTCGTAATAAGACAGTGTGTATGTATGGAGAGGGAATATACATATATATATGCATGCTGACAAAAACACATGAAAATGGAAATAGATCTAAGAACACACGGGAGTTATTAAAAGATAAGAATGCCAATAACTACTCCATCATTTCTCAGACCAATCTTAATTGTTTTATAACCCTTCATGCAAAACTTTTCACTACCAGTTCATGAAAGACATTTGGGTTACTAACACACAAAAACGAGAATGTCTCATATCAAGAATATTTAACATTGAAAAACAAAGGAAAGAATTAATTATTTTTAATAATATGTGGAATCTCCACATTTTGCCTGATGAAGGTCATGAGATCAGAAACATGTGTAGCAACATTATGGAAAATAAAGCATAATATTTTTTTAAGAAATCCACATTACAACCAAAAACGTTTGAGGTTTCTCTCTTCTTTTTAATATAAAATGTAAATCTATTTAAACTCAGTGGGTAAAAAATCTGGATAGCACAATTTTCAAATAAATTGACATCTGAGGAAAAATGGGAAAAAAAAGAAAGCACCAGAAACCTCCAAAAAGGACGAAAAAAATCGTCCAGTACCTTAAATCTCTGGTACAAAGAAAAAAACCCAGCAAGTAATAAGTTAAAATAAAGAGTGCTCAATACACTAAGTAGAGCAAAAGTAAAATAAATAAATCCTAATGACGCAGGTACTACCTACCTAGGTTTACCTATATGGGATCAGACATATGACTTTGTGTATGACGTGACATTATAAAAATCTCTCTAAGAACATAGCATGTTTATTGTTGCGGGCTGGTGTACATGTTGAGAGATAAACAAATGTCTCCTAAAATGCCCACAAGAAAAATGGCAGACTCAGAGTAGAAGTCCACCTAAAAAAATATAAAGAAACAAGGACTGATATACAGTGTAACCCGGATATAAGAGAGATTTTCTCTGGTCCCAAATTAGAGCCTGTGTTAATGTATATAAATTAGACCAAACCTGGATATAACAGAGACCCGGATATAAGAGAAACCCGGATATAAGAGAGATTTTCTCTGATCCCAAATTAGAGCCTGTGTTCATGTATATAAAGTAGACCAATCCCGGATATAAGAGACTTCTTCTCCGTTAGAAACAACTCTCCTATCCGGGTTACACTGTATATATATATATATATATATATATATATATATATATATATATATATATAGACACAGTATAACCCGGATATAAGAGATTTTTTCTGGTCCCAAATTAGAGCCTGTGTTAATGTATATAAAATAGACCAAACCCGGATATAAAAAGAAACCCGGATATAAGAGACTTCTTCTCCAGTCCCGACAACTCTCTTATATCCGGGTCACACTGTATATGTACAAACAAATGAATATGTATTAACAACAAAAAGACAATAATGTGTGTGTAACAAATGAATGTGGAAGCTTTTTGGTCAAAAGTGTGTGTATATGAATATATTGTTTATGCATTTCCCAAAAAGGGAAAATGTGATCTTCCGTGAGATATTTTCATATTGTCATATATGTGGAAAAGTAAAAAGAGAGTGATAAAAAAATTATCACAGAGTGTTTATAATTCTGGAGAATGTACCCAAGTAGCAGTTTCAAAAATTAGGAGGTAACCCAACATTTGTCATTCTTTTTCCATTCAGCCATTCCATTCCGTCCTATGAAATATGGTGTTATTATATCATGTATATAATAACGCCCATAATAGGGGAAATTCAAATAAGAGCATAAATCTTTCCTTTTGTTTGGTTTTGTTTTGTGACAATCTGAGGTATTTCTTTCAAAATTATTTGTGTAGTCCTGAAAAACTGTAGCATTTAAAGTGACTTTATTTTCTCAACATGCCAACACTGACTCTTTTCATTCTCACCACTTTCCCAAGGAACTCATAATTAGAGGCACATGTGCCAAACATCAAATTCAGTAATTGGTTGTTTGCAAAATTTACTAAGGTGTTTATTATGAAACAGTGATTGCCTTTCAATAAAAAAAAAATTGCAGTTGATGGTTTTTATTTTGAACCTATGAATTATTCTGTATTTTTTTCATTGTAATTTAAATATGTTTATCTTTGAATGATTTCTAAACTCACTTCAGTGTCTATACTAGTGGTTTTCAACCAGGGTTCTGCGGAACCCTAGCGTTCCGCCAGTAAAGTTAAACAAGAGTTCCGCAAGAAGTTACACAAGTACTATGATTGACAGTAATTTTTTATTCTCCAGTGCAGATATGTGTGTCTAGGTACCTCCACTAAATCAATAACAAAACAGCATAGTATGAATAAAAAAAGATCCCAAACTTAATAAAACAAACTTTTTCCATCAAAATGTTTATATTTTTATTAAAAGGAAAGATCAAAGTAATTTTTAATTATTTTTTAAAATTTTGTAATCCCTTCGAACATTTTCGAAATTTTGTCAGAAAATTTCGTTTTGATTTGAGTTAGCGGTTAAACAAACTTTACGACTGTTTTTACAAAGGAAAACGTAAAAATTATATCACCCACTTTTTTTTTTTGGTGACAAACACATTAATTTGGAAATTCTCACAAAAATCAAATAATTGTCGGATTTTAATGAAACTTTCAGGACTTATTCACAAATGAATGAAATTATTTTTGAAATTATTATTTTTTAAAAATCTTGGTAAAAATATTTTTTTTTTTACATCTGTTACCCCCCCCCCACATAAATCCATGAAATGTTAATAAATTTGTCATTGTCTTTTGTTTTATTAGTTCAACACAGGACTCATTGGGGAATATAAGTCATCTCTTTCTTTTATTTTAAGTTTAAATGCACTATCTGAAAATCTGCTCCGGAGAGTAAAATAAAAATGCAATAAAACTCTGATATAATTTAATTTGATAAGCTTTTAATTGCTGGAATAAATAATAATAATTAAGGACATTATAGTCTGAAGAAAAAAAATTTTTTGATTAATAATAAAATTTTAAAAGAATTATTGCAATTTTTTAATTTTTTTTATTATAATAATTATTTAATAATTTATAAAATTTTAAAAATATTTTTAAAATCTTCAAAGAACTGCAGGAAAGAAGTCTTTTTAGTTAAGAATTGATGATTATATTGCCTATCGAAAATAAATGCTTTTCAGAAAAAATTGACAATATGGACGAAATGCATAGATGCAGGAAATTTGGAAATGTTTCCAAGTGTTCTTAAAAGGAATTGTCAAGAAATTGCACTACTGATCTTAAACCACTTGGAGACTTTGTTAATAAATCTTGATAAATATTTTCCATCGATATCTGTCGACCAGTATGACTGGGTTAGAAGGCCATTTGTGGAATTTGAGCCATCTGAAGGACAGTTTAAAATTGAAGCATTCTGAGCTTAGCCTGGATGCATTCTGGTTGCTGGTCAAAAAGGAATATCCTGCAATTGCCCAGAAAGCACTGTGCCTTCTTATGCAGTTTTCAACATCCTACTTGTGTGAATTTGGATTTTCAGCTCTGACAAGCATCAAGTGCAAGAAGCGAGCACAATTGCTGTCTGTGGAAGATGAACTTCGATGTGTGTCTGTCAAAAACACGACCCAATATTAAAGATTTGTGCAAGAAACATCAGGCTCAAGTTTCTCATTGAATTTTTAATGAAAATAAATGTAATCCATTTAAACTGAAGTTTTTTAATACATATATAATAACCGTAGAAGCAAGATTAAAATTGCATATGTACGTATACAATATTTTTAGTTTGTCTTTGTATTTTTTTTGTAAATAAATCTGAAGATGAGTATTTTTATTTTATTTTAATAATTGAAAGCTTTTTTTTTTAGCATAAGACAATTAATTTATTGCAGGGGTTCCTCAAGCCACTGGAATGTTTCCTTGCGGTTCTGCTCCAGCAAAAAGATTGAAAACTGGGAAAAGTGCAGGACTTAAAGAAACATTTATCTCCCTTTGTTGCAATATGCCATTAGATAGATATTATCTCTCTGGTAAAGAAATAAATCCAATTTGACTTGATTTTATTTGTTTTGAGTTGTGGATGAAAAGGGGATTGAACTCTAAACTAAAATATAAGACGTGGTGGGCATTTGGACATGACTTTGGATGAAACAAACCTGTGTCTTATATGCATAGGATTATGGCAGTTTTTTTTTATAACAAAATTTTAATCAATCAATAAATTAATAATAGGTACTCACTCCAGTAGCCATCTCGTCAAAATGTTTAGGTTTCTGAAAAAGAAAAAAAATTTTTTTTTTTTAGAAAAGTGCCTAAAAACTCAAGTCATATTCTTAAATAATTTTGTCATATCAAGACTTTCACATGGATGCCATGATATGGCGCCAAACTCTTTCAGAAATATGTAAACTGCCAGCTGTCTTCAACCACTTTCTTAGGTTCTCTTTTTGTCATAGGAGCTGGGAACATTGAAGTGAGCACTTCTTTTTGAGTTAAAGAATTGGAGTTCTAACAATGTAGATGTACTAAACTACCATGTCCAATAGAGGAGATACCAAAATCAAAGACATCATGAATACCATTGTACTATCATCATAAAATAATTGACTTCAATGAAGTGGACACCAGGTGAGAATGGATGACCAACACCCAAAGAAAATCTTTTACTCACAACTCAAAGAAGGAAATTGAAAAAATTCGTCAAAAGAGGAGATTCAAGAAAATTATTTACATTATTCAGATTATTGTCCTCATCTTTGTTGCCATATTTATCACTACATTTTGGCCGTTGTACGCTCCGGCCTTCTTCAGTATCTGTCTACATTTTTTGAGATGAGATATTATGTACACTATTTAATTTATTCGGACTATTGTCCTCATCTTTCTTGACATGTTTATCATAACGTTTCGGCCGTTGTATGCTTTGGCCTTCTTCAGTATTTGTCTTTATTTCTGAGATGAGGTATTATGTACACTATTTACATTATTTGGACTATTGTCCTCATCTTTGTTGCCATATTTATTACAACATTTCGGCTGTTGTACGCTCCAGCCTTCTTCAGGTGGTTGGAATGTTGAACTGAACCCTTTATTTTGCTCATTGGGGTAGACTGTTCTAGTTCCACATGCCATGTTTTAATGGATGTCAGTTGTCAGTTATCTCCTGTTAATTCCCCTCTCTAAGTTCTCCACTGTCTTAACCGGTTATGGAACTCACACTCTTTGGGTCCTGTCACTGGATCTAACCAACGCCTTTATCCACTGTAATGAATTTTCAACCACCTGAAGAAGGCTGGAGCAAAATAAAAAAAAAAAATCGTTGTATTAAATATGAATACAAAGATGAAAAACAATAGTCCAAATAATGTAAATAGTGTACATAATACCTCATCTCAGAAATATAGACAGATACTTAAAGGCCGAAACATTGTGGTAAATATGGCGGCAAAGATGAGGACAATAGTCCGAATAATATAAATAGTGTACATAATACTTCATCTCAGAAATATAGACAGATACTGAAGGGCTGAAACATTGTGATAAATATGGCAACAAAGATGAGGGCAATAGTCCGAATAATGTAAATAGTGTACATAATACCTTATCTCAGAAATATAGACAGATAACTGAAAGGCTTAAAACGTTGTAATAAATATGGCGAAAAAGATGAGGACAATAGTCTGAATAATGTAAATAGTGTACATAATACCTCATCTCAGAAATATAGACAGATACTGAAAGGCGAACGTTGTAATAAATATGGCGACAAAGATGAGGACAATAGTCTGAATAATGTAAATAGTGTTTTAATAACCTCATCTCAGAAATATAGACAGATACTGTTTAATTCAAAACGTTGTAATAAATATGGCGACAAAGATGAGGACAATAGTCTGAATAATGTAAATAGTGTACATAATACCTCATCTCAGAAATATAGACAGATACTGAAAGGTCAAACGTTGTAATAAATATGGCGACAAAGATGAGGACAATAGTCCGAATAATGTAAATAGTGTACATAATACCTCATCTCAGAAATATAGACAGATACTGAAAGGCCGAAACGTTACTGTAATAAATATGGCGACAAAGATGAGGACAATAGTCTGAATAATGTAAATAGTGTACATAATACCTCATCTCAGAAATATAGACAGATACTGAAATATAAAACGTTGTAATAAATATGGCATAAAAGATGAGGACAATAGTCCCGAATAATGTAAATAGTGTACATAATACCTTATCTCAGAAATATAGACAGATTCAAAGATGTTCTAAAAAAAAAAAAAAAAAAAAAATATATATATATATATATATATATATATATATATATATTGAAGAAATGTAAAATCAACAGCTGGGAATCCAAGAGCAATGGACAAGAAGCTGTGGAGATCCATTGTCAGGGATGGAACAACAATCTTCAAATCTAAATGGCCAGCCAAACTAAAAGGAAAAAGAAGACGTCTAAAAGAAAGACAACATCAGCCAAGGCCTAATTCACCATCCAGAACAAATTATCCTCAATGTTGAAGAACCTTTCAAGCAAAAATAAATCTCATTAACCATTTCAGAGTTCACAATTGAATGAAGCAAACAAAACAAGACCATCATTCACAACCTCAATGAATAGCCATAATGACTTTTAAAGATTTTAAATGATACCACCACACTGTTTGAAAAATTGGTATTTTTGTACACTTGTACTAAAATATTTGGGGACTATTTCAGTGAAACACCAGAACATATTTTTAATTGGTTGTATCATGTCAAATATACTTATGTTATAAGGACAAACCATGCAGCTGGTGTTTTAGGATGACCTTTTCAGAAACTAAGCTTATACTCATGGATTGTGTGGGGGTACCAAGTAAAGTACCATGGTCACTGGTATCAGTTTGGTTTTGAAATTCTAGTAAGTATCCAGGTATTAAAATGGTAGTGCCAAATGATATTTCCCCTAGACAAGATATCCATGTACAAATTTCATGGTATTCACTCAAATTTTATTATTTTGACCTCTGCAATTTTTTTATCAGTTTTTCAAAAAATTAAAATAACAATCAAGGCAGAGGTGGACCTACATTTTGGAGTCCCTCCTTTGTGACCAGCAACAATCAATATGAGGTTTCAACTGCCAAAATGTAGTGAAATGTTTTATGATGAATATTTTCATTTTGTCATAGTCTCTGGGCGAACAACTTAGATACCATAACAAAATATTTTGCTTTAGGGTCAAAATAATAATCCCACGGCAAACAAAATGAGACATGTAGAGGGGCCGTGGCTGTTATGTCGTTGATAGAAGTCAGACGTAGAAGAAACGCATGTAAGGTTCAGATACTCCTGCCCGCCGGGCCCAACTACATAAAAAGGTTGGACTTTGATTAAGTCCAAAGAAGAAGGCAAAGAAAGCAAACAAAACACAAGACCGATAATATATGTATATACAAAAATATATATTAATAACAAGTTACAATACATGGAAACAGTACAAAGGACAAAGCGTGTGTGAATATTCTGTATGTGCGTGTGTGTGTGTGTGAATATTGTGCTTAGCGTGTTTCCACGCTATCCCTTGTTAGCGCCTACATTTCGAGGTTGATAGCTGAAATCCTGAAGGAAAAAGAGATAGAGGTGAAGGGTCAGCGGCTATTTATAGCCAGGGAAGAGAGACCCCTGGTGAATGGGTTAACGGACTGAAGGAGGAGTTAACTCCGACAGACAGACTGACATTCACAAATGCAATTTCATTAACTAACAAAAAAAAACAAATTAATTGACAATGCATATAGTTTCTCATGCTAATAATACTACACCTAAAACAAAATAAGAATGGATAATAAAATTCACTCTTTTAGAAATGATATGTTGTGTTACTGGTGTTTTCTTCAATTTTTTTTTTTTTCAGTAAAAAAAAAAAAAAAAAAAAGAGAGAGAGAGAGAGAAGGAGGCAAAGAAGAAGAAGAAGACACAATTTTCAAACAGAAAAATAAAGTTTTAAAAGTTCATATTATTTTTCTTTTCTTTCTTTCTTCCAAGGATGCTTTTTCTACGAGTGTTTTATTAGTGTGAAAAATATATACTTTTTTCATAAATTCAAATTACAAAATTGAAAACACAAATTTCATAGTTTTTTTTTTTAATGGTTCTTGTATAAATTTGAGAAATTTTCTATATATTTTGTAGTAGAAAAAATACCATATATATATATATATATATAAAGTTTTCCTCATCAAAAAAAAAAAAAAAAATTCCAGATGCTGACAAAAAAAATAAAACTGTTCAAATATTTAATATGGAAGCTCAAATTCACAACAAACTAAACAAATCACAAATTCAAATTACCTTTCCAGAAAAAGCCCCATAGAAAAATCACAAATTGCAGGTCAAATGCGAAAAATTCCAAATAAACAAAAACAGTCTGGTTAAAATGCATTTTATGCAAACCGAAGACGAGTTAGAAAAATAAAACAACCTTCAATTCAAGAACACCAATAAAATTTCAGAATTGACAGAATTTTTTCTTTTTTTTGGTCAACAGTGGGATTGGACAAAAATTATGTAAATATCTGAGATGCATTATTTTGGCAACATCTGTGACTGACGTTTCCGTTTCAATTTTATTTTATCTTCAGCATAAATGCAGTAACAGATTTTGATTGCCCTTTTTTATTAAATAAAATCTTTCTTTTAAAATAAAATAAAAACAAACAGAGCTCGTTTGAAAAAACCAATGAAAATACTTAGATATCAATTTAAGCTAAAAATAAAGAAAAACTATTAAATAAAATAATAAATAAGCAACTGGAGTTACTAAAAACAAAATTTTCTTTTGCAAAAATAATGGAACCATTTAATTTCAAAATATTACTTTTTTAACTAATATTTCCTTAATTTATTTTTATCAAACAATTTTCTTACAGACGTGTTTTATTCCTATCTTCTAATGTATTTTAGTAAATAAGTTTTTACAGGCCAAAAAGTATTGGGCATCTATTGAGGATCGAAAAAAAGATTTTTCAGTTGTAACTAAGAGACATTGACAACTTGTTTACGACCATTTAAAAATAATTGTTTTTAGGTAGAAAGTGTGTGTTCGTTTATAAATTCCTTACATTTTTCAACAGATTTAAAACAAATTTTTTTTTTTTTTAGAAAGTGAAGTATTTTCTTATTGTCTTTAGAACATTTTAAACGAAAACTTTTTTTTTTAATTCAGAATGCTTTAAAAATTCCATTTACAAGACAATTGTTTATAATAAAATTTTTATAAAATCATTTTAGACTCATAATGATTGAAAACAATGTTTTTTGTTTCAGTTGGAAAATATATTGTTTTGACCAATTCTTAGGGAAAAAAAACAAAAACAAAAAACTAATTAAGATGTGGCATGTCCATCAACCTTAAACAATAATCTTTCTTTCAATTTTATTTTTTCAGTCTTTATGATGGTTGCCATCCATGATAGATCTCTTACTTTAATTACATCCCTGGGCAAAGAAGAGGCTCTACTTTTCTAGTTATTAATAAATAAATCAAGAAAACTATATTTCTGTTAATTTTTGGTTAAAATCTTGGATAAACCATTAGAAAACAACATTTATACATTATGTTTTGTTTATCCTTAAATAAAATGAAAATACAAAGAAGAATTTAAAATTGATAAACATGACAAATGATAAATCACATGACTGCGTTGAGTTGTGCGTAAATTTTGTCATGTTTATCAATTTTAACATCATGTTTTTTTTTTATTGTGAAGAGTTGGAACATATTAATATTCTTTATATAGAAGTGTTTATTGGTTAGAAATTAACAACACCATGTGAAATATTTGTAAACCACATGTGTCACTTTGACCTTTAATATAGGTAAGGAGATTAAAGATTTCGATCAGCTCTCAAACATCTGAACTTTATTGTGGACCAACTCTTACAAAAAGAAAATTTGTTAAACCCTGATTTTTAATCCTTTGTCTAGATTGAATTTCATAAAATTTATTCTGAACATGAAAATAAATTAATAAAAACATTTCTATGTACAGCAATTTTGAGGAAGGTTCAGATTAACAATTTAAAAAAAAAAAGTAAAACTCCTTAATTTAATGAGATTTAGGTTGTTTTGAAAAGAATATTTATCATAAAACCCATTCTTAAATTTAAAACATTTTTTTTTGTCTTTCTATTTTTATATATTGGACTGTTGCCCTAATTTTTAACCATATTAAAACAAAATTTCACTTTTTTTTAGCACTTTAGTGTTTTTTTGTCTTGCAGGCTTTTTTACTTTTATTTTTCATTCAGAACCCTTTATAAAGTCTATTGGGGAGACAATTGTTTAAAATAAAAGGGTTTCAATCGGTAGATTCAATAACGATTGAAAACAATGTTTTGTTTGAGTAATGGTTTGAAAATTGCAAAAAAAAAAAAAAAACTAATTAAGACATGCAAATAGTCAACAATCCAATATCTTTTACAAATTTAAAACAGTCTTTAAACATGGTCGATAACTTCCCTATTTAGCAAATAACGACACTTGCCTCCCCACCCCGACTCAAAAAAAAAAAAAAAAATTTTTTGAAGAAAGAAAATTATTATTTTGGAGGTATTTTTGTTAATGAAAAGTTTGAATGACTAATTAAATTTTAATTTTTTATTTATTTAAATATAAGGGTCCTTAAAAAATCCTTGTCTTTTTTAACGTAGAATGCAAAACAAGAAAAAACCGAGAAAAACCCCTGGCATTACTTTCCACTAATGCAGGGGGCATCTCATGTGATAGATGAAGACCCTTCTCCCATATTGAAGGAGGAAACATAAAGGTGGGGAAGCAAGCTCGTTTGGAGTTCTCTCAATGACTTTAATTGACTTTAAGCAGCCCATATTCGCCGAATAGGTAAATAATGCCTTTGAGTGAACGTACAGGAATCCTTCATCATAGGTTAGGGACCTCCCGATAATTATCTTTGGAGCTCCATTGACAATCTTTTCCGTACACTTTTTGGTCCTAGCGTCTGTCCCCAGATTAACGTCCAACTTTGAGTCTCTAGCTATGGTGTCTGGGAAAATCAATTTTCATGAGAAGACAGTTCCAGAAGGATACAAATTTTACGGCAATGAGACGACCCCCCCCATTTCCTAAGTAAATTTGACAGTGCTCAACAAACTGTAATCATTTTTGTTTGTAGCTTAGCCAGAGAATTAAATCATTTTCTCCATAAATTCAATAAAAGCATTGCACAGGATCGCGAAATTGAAACAACTGAAAAATTTTTTGTCATTTAGGTTTGTATATGTTCCATCTAGTTAAATTTCATGAAGATGAGCAGATAATGTCCAAGTTGACGCCAATCCATACAGCTCATCTGGTTCAATCAATCCGAAAGGTTTGGACTTTTAAAGAAGATGAAAATTTAAATTCAGTTTGTGTCTCACTATGAGATAATTTTTTTTTTCTTGAATGAAGTGAAGAGGCCTTGCATGGCAGAATTTCTTAGAGATGATCTGAACAACCGTCCTCCAGAATGTAGGGTTGGTGCCATTTTGTATCAGCTATGTGCCAAAAGAATGGCGTTTCTGTTATAGACAAGCGTATGGTTGCAAGAAAAAAAAATCGACAACAGTAGAAATAGATTTACGTGGTTTATTTCAACAGGAACGTGAGGGTTTGGGACAGCTACCTTGTGGTAAAGTTCATAAGCCACATTTCGGATCTGGTTGATCTCTCACAGGATAGTTCACATGTTGACGGTGGTTGGTGCTCTCCTGCTGACAGCTGCTGAAGTGAGGTGTGCCAGGTCTCTTCCCTGGCCACCTGTTGACTGCCTGTTGAACTTCCCCGGTGTCCCTTTTAAAGCGTTTTTTTATGGTTTAACAGGCTCGAAAAACAAAGCGAGTATAATTAGGAGGACGGCATTTTTATTGGCGGGAAAAATAGAGCACTTTAAATATTATTTTTTTTTCGACCGAACACGTGTGAAGGAAACATTTGGAAAGAAAGATAATGGTCATTTTGTGAAAACACATTTGTCCCGTTCACATCAGTGATTCTCGCTCTTGTAGTTTATTTGCCTGTAAATCAGCCGAGATATGTCTTATTTTATTTTATAACAGTTCCAACCAACCATAGGAAGGTCTAAAAAGATGATGACACATAATTGTTATTTTCCTTAATACATTGTTTTTTTTATTCTAAAAACAGTTAATAAACATAGCATCTTAGTGGCAAATACTTATTTTGTTCTTTTTGTTATCTATAATATATAAAATTATAGTAAAATATTTTTTTAATATTTAAATTGAAAATAAAAATTTAATTAATTCTTTTTTAAAAGGAACAATTTTTTTAATTATTGTTTTTATTTTAAATATTTTTTTAAAAATGTTTTACTGTACAACTTATTTTGTTCTTTTTGTTAAGTATTTTCATATCTTCAAATATTTGAAGGTTAAAAAAAATTACTTTGTTATTCTTTTATTTGTCGATATTTTCATATGTTTGAAAGTTAACTTTCTTCTTAAAAAATTAAGTAAAAACTACACTTATCACTTATTTTCATACATTTGAAAGTTAATTTTCTTTAAAAAAAAATTACTTTGTTATTCTTTTATTTGTCGATATTTTCATATTAAAAAAATTAAGTAAAAACTACACTTATATTTGAATGTTAACTAAAACTTTCTTCTTAAATTAAGTACAAATAAAAAAATTAAAAAAATCGTTTTACGGAGAAAGTTAACTTTAAAAAGACAAAAAGTGCGTACTAATTTCTTTAAGGGAGTAAATAGGTCAAAATTGTATAAGCGCGCGAAATGGTTCAACAGCGAATGTCTCTCAATAAGCCGGTAAGGGATGACAAAAAGAGCGAGAAGAAGTTCGATGTTTTTCTGGTCGTTAACATCCAAAAAGGTAGGTTTCTTCAATATCTAATTGTTGATTTGAGTTCAGCATATACATTTGCATGGAAATAAGACTATTTTGGAAAAATTTGAAGGGATAATAGCGATCGGGTGTTGAAATGAAAATTTACCAAAACAATTTCTATATAAAAATTAATAACAAGAAATAACCGGTTTTCTTTTATGAAACTAAAATACGATTTTACTTAAAAATTTAGCTACTAAAAAAGTTTCTAGAACTGCTACTTACTAAAACTGGAGAAACATGTTATTATTCAAATAATTTGAATCAAAATTGTTATAGCTTTTTAAAATATCAATAAAAAGTAATCAAATGTTAGGATAAACAAATCATTTAAAGCCCTAATATTCTTAAAGATTTTTAGATAAGAAAATAAAGAAACGGAACAAATTAAAAAGTTTAAAAAAAAAAAATAGTTTTTTTCTTTAAATACGAAACTAACAATTTTCGCCGGTCACTAAAATAAAATACGGTTTTTACTTTTAATTAAAATAAATGTCATTTAATAAATTATTACCATGGAAATATAAAAGAAAAATTCTTAAAATATTTTTAAAAAGTATGAAAAGAAGGTGAAAATGTGATGGTATTTAAAAAAGAAAGAAATCGCGTACCGGTTTGAAAAAATAATTTAAAAAATTAAAATTCATCAATTTTCTTTAAAAAATTTTAAATCAACTTTTACTTTACTTTAAAGAGCATATTTTGAAAAAACTTATCCGTGTTTGTAGACTTCATTCTACAAAAAGAAAACAGTTTTTCTTTTGTGACAATATAGTAAAAAAAATAAATTATGTAGTTGTACTACTCACCTAAATTATTTATGTAACAAAACAAAAACACTGATAATTTGTTAAGGACATCAAACATTCCAGCTTCCACCTTTTAACTTTTAAAATTCTGGTTTGCACATCAAACCAAACAGAAGTGGAATAATATTAATTAAAATAATTAGTTATTAAAATGAAATCTCACATCCAAACGTTTCTTTACACAATATAATTACACAGTGAATCACTTATCGTGCACTTGTTAAAGTTAAATTTAAAAAAAAAATTGGGTCGAAGCTTCTGAAATTCATACGACAATCGCAATCCCCTCGTTGCAATTAGTGTGGCCTTGTATCATAAACTAAGCTAAAAAAAAAAATTCAGAGGTGCTTCAGGTAACGGTAATGGTTAACTAACGAGGCTCGTCTGGGTAAATCGTTACGACAGAGTAGCGAATTCGATCCTCACTTGGTGGCTTTGTAACAAGAAGCTCAATAAATATTATTAAGTTATTATTCATTTTAAAATAAAAATGTTTGCAGGTATTAAAAACTTACCTCAGCTAATCAAAATGGAAAAGTCCTTTTTATCAACAACTTAAATAGTTCGTTGTTTACTTTGATAACAGTGAGTACAGTCACTTAAGTCAACTGCACGAATGTATCAAGTTTCTGTCGAACTATAAAAGCTCAGAAAAAAAGATTAACGTTGTCTTTGAGAGGCGGAGGGGGAGATAGCAATCGATCCTATTTTGTTTTTTTACTTTCATTTTGCTTGAAAAAAAAAACTTGTTAAATTCCGTTTACTTGGAGTTTGTTGCAGTGTTTTTTTAAGAACTTTTTTTAAGTGCTGGGAGACGTATTAATTAGTTAGTAAATTAGTTTAATTAAAACTAAAACGTTAAGTAATAAAAAAAATTATTAGCATGCATACAAAGTAAAAAAAACTGTTCATTTTTTTTTCTATCGCTTTCTTTCTGTTTATTATCGATCTATTTCAGTCTACTCATTATCTATCGATATACATTTTCAAATTTTTTTTTATAGTAATGTTTACCCTGTACACGGCTCGGGAGCCACTCTAGGTAGAGGGTTACAGAGTAAAAAGCACAGTTTATACCTGTAGAGGACCGTTGGGTGATGAGTATGTATTGTAGAAGAACACACGTGAGTTAAGATTTTCCTGCTAGCCGGTCCAACTACATGATTAAGTTGGACTTTAATTAAGTCCAAAGAAAACAAGGAAAAACAAACACAAGACCGATAAATATATGTAAACAAATATATGTATTAATAACAAGAATGGTTACAAGTTACATGGACAGAGTGCGTGTAGTGAATATTATGTGTTGTGAGAAATTCTGCAATTTAAGCTCCTATTGGCTGATTTGTAACGACCAATTTCATTGGTCGAATTTTGACTTGTTTTTTTTGGCGGGCATTTTTCAACGGCCCGTGCCCTGTTGACTCAGTTGCGGCATATTATTAGAAATGTCCGGACTCATTTTTTGTATATCTTTGCAGGGCCTTTTAGAAAGACAAGATCGAACTAAATAATTAATTTATGATTCCTTTCAGCAACCAAATAGTAATGCTTCAGAGACGACGTCATGTCCCAGCATAAAACTTCAAGGCTGTATAATTCAGTCATTTATTGACTGTCGTCAAAAATGGTGCTATTTCGAAGAACTTTATGCATGATCTCGCAATAGCCGAAGTTTCAACTTCAGCAACCAAAATGGTAATGCTCCAGCAACGAGCAGCAAATTCCAGCTTCTCCAACATCGTAGAGACCAATTGAGTCCTACTGAAGTAAAAGACACTACCTATTTATTGAAGAACTACCCCACCCTGTTCCTAGGGGCAAAAAAGGGCAAAATCTTTTTTGCAAGGATACAATAAAATTTGTTTTAAGTTTTAAGGTAGGCCTTGTTGATTGTATGTCTTTCTTGTCTCTGCCAAGAGTTGAACTGTGTGAGAAGAAATTCTCACAGTATGTGTTGTGTTGAGTGTTGTGTTTGTACTATTGTGGTGCTGTAAGAATTGTTGGCTAGGGTCACAGTGAATATAATCAAGAAGGAAAGCTGTGTTCTTGTAAACAACACCCCACATGAATCATGTACAACATACACGAGAGAAAAATAATCAAGCTCAGTGAACATTAATAAAATATTGTATTAACAATGATATACAAATTTCAACAATAAAGAAAGAAAGTTGCTTCCCTTTTTCCATAATAAAAAGGGTAAGTTTAACTAATTAATGTTGAGTACAATGTTGAATGTTATTTAATTACAAAGTTCAATTGAGGTCTTAGCTAAATGAAGAATTATTCCACAGTCTGTTGTGAGTGTGGAAAGATGTAATGTACACGAGTGATATCAATAGTAATTAGTAAGATTACTCGAATGAGTAATAACTAAGAATTAAAATGTCATAAGAAATATAGCGCCATGCCATAATTTCCAAGAATTGAACTGCTACTGCTGTTGGCTAACAGCGAGAGAGTTTATATAGTTATGCATAGGCTCCAGTGAGCTTGGCACCAAAAATATAGAAAGATACTAAAATACGTGATTGGTCTGGAAATGGACCAATCCGTGATTTTAGAGAAAAATTCAAATGATGTGCGATGACAAAATTGTCATATAATAAGTATCATATATTTATGAACCAATGACATTAAAGAAAGCAGAGGTGTGGCACATGTAAGTGATCACTACAGTACATACGTGTATTGTTCTTAGTGTGTTCCCAGCATTTGGGAAATGCTATATCTGTGAGCGCTCACATCTGTGAGGTGGTAAGGCTGAAGGCCTGTGGAAAAAAGAGGAAGAGGCGAAGGGTCACCTAGTATTTATAGCCAGGAGAGAGAGACCCCTGGTGAAGGGTTAAGGAATTGAGGAGGAGCTAACTCTGACATGCCGACAACTGTGAAAGATAATGGTTAACCCTAGATTGTAATGAATGAGAAAATATCCTCTTGGGAGTTGGTTACACAAAGTGGTGGTTTGTGGGAAGAAGCTTTTCATCAATAGAATATGGAGTGAATGACAGTGTTTCACCATAATGTGCATAGTGGGCTTTAGCCATGAAGGTTAGAACTGGTAAAGAATACAGTTCGTCTGGGCATTTTCCATGGAAGTAGCAATAGGGCAGGGAGAAGTTTGCAACATTTTGTCTGTAAGAGACGGGTCATAGGGTGGAAAATTTTTTGTTACCCACAAGGATGCAGGGACACTTTTGAAGCCTATTGAGACTGAAAAGCAAGGTCTTGGCAGCTCCTGCCTAAATATGACAGCAGTACTCCATTTTAGGCCTAATCTTGTTTTTAGGTAGAGGATAGCACATGAAGTCAGGTACTTACAGAAGTGGTACAGAAAACCGACCGTTTTTCCTGCATCTTTAATGATGGATCATATATATGCATTCCACTTGAGGTCTGGGTTGAGTCTAAAGTCCAGTAGATGCTCAAGGCAAGGACGCACGGTGGAGTAATGGATAGCAGCTCGGATTGAAGAATTGGAGAGCCAATTTCAAATTCCAGTCGAATACATTACCTTCAGTGAAGTGCTAATAGCCTTGGGAAAGGTATGAATCCTCTTCTTCTTCTCCCACCAGCTATGGGTAAATAGCAAGACAGACCGGGTTCTATGGCCTTGGATGGCAACTGGTCTACCACAGAAAGAAATGGCAACCTACTGCGGGAAAAAAAAATCTGCCTCATCTGTCATGTATCAAAAGATACATGATTGCCTAAGCGTGTATCATGCATGACAAATAACTGAAAGAGAAGGTAACTGCATAAACATTTCCTCTGGGCACTTCTACACCTCTTGTTTCATAACTTAACTGCCCACCCCCAAATGTAATTCTAATACTATTAAAGTTATAATGTGTTTTACTTTTTGGCAGTCTCTCACTCACTCACACCCACACACTCTTTTTTCTGAAAGATGATTATGGGGGAGGTAAAGAGAATCTGTTGAGTAATGGATAGCGGATTGGATTGAGGAATCAGAGAGCCAATTTCAAATTCCATTTGAATCCATTACATTCACTTATGTGCTAATACCCTTGAGAAAGATATGAATCCTCTTCTTCTGCCCCCAGCTATGAGTAAATAACAGGACAGATCATGTTCTATGGCCTTGGATGGCAACTGGTCTACTGCAGAAAGAAATGGCAACCTACTGTGAGAAAAAAATCGAAAGATACATGATCACCTAAGCGTGTATCACACATCGTACATGACTTGATTTCGTTGCTCAAGGCACCTAGCCTCCCTGAGGGAACATCCATGATGGTAGGCCAGGATCCGATTGCCGATGATGAAATGTAATCAGTTTAGTTTTCAAGGCATTCAATGAAACCAGCTAGTTTTTCCTCCCACCGAGATGTTAGAGCAAGATCCTAGAAGAGATCACCTGCCAATCTTTGATCATCTACAAAGCAAAATCTCCTAGATATGAATTCCAGTGAAACAAACAAGCAATCTTCACTGAAGTGTAACCTCCCTGCTATGATATTTGTAACCTAGACAGGTGTGTTGTATTTGGTGACCAGCTCAAGTATGGGTTATATCTGATGGTTATGGCCAGGCTTCAGATTATACAAGAACTCACCAACATAATTCATAATTTTTTTTTTTAAACCGAGATTTTTCAGACTGTTTATAAGTTTTACAAATATTGAATAAAATAAAAATTTGTTGTATAAAAATCTAAGTGTTTATTATTTTGCTAGTCTAGAAGAAGCCCATTGGGTGGACTTCAGGCTAGCTCATGCAGAGAGCTTTTGAGTCTTCATCGTCCTATGTACATAAGAATTTAGAAATAATAAAATTACTTTTATTTGACATAATCTTTCTTCATATACACAACTGATCTCTGTAGTTTGTTTACCTTTATTTTGTGTGCAATTTTCTTTTTAAATCAGTATTCTTTATGATCCCTTCGCATAAAGTCACTTTAAAAAGACATTAGATAACCCGAACTATGTAATATTTTGAATACGTCACAGTACACATGCTAGAAAAAGAAAATAAAAACCATATGAGCAGCATACTGTGCCCTGCTTAAGTTTTAATTACAGTTAGACAATATCAATTGCAATTGTGCTGAAAAGTGAAATTAAAGTTAAACCTTTACTAAAGAATTTTTGTTTTTTTAACTTTTCACTCTGATATCTAAATTTAACTTTAAATGAGTTTTCTTATTTAATTTTTAATCGTGCGTAACTAGACTAGTTACTGCCTGTTACTTCAGGTTTTTTTTATGATTCACTGAGATTGAAAAACAGATGGACACCCATACACTGTGCTTTATAGATAGAAAATGAAATTTTCAAATTCTTGCCATCATTTTTTACACTCTTCTTCAGTCTAGAGAAAAATCTAAATAACAAACGTAAGGATAAAAATGACGATAAAGATAACAACAACAACAAATATAAAAATTACACTTTTAATATTGAAGTAAAAAATAATTTTATCTCATCAACTTAATTTTTCAAAACAATTTTATGGTTCACTGATTACAATACAGTGTTCATGTTGCACACAAAAATGTATTAATTTCATTTTAACTGATTTCACTACCATATCCAAAGTTCTAATTTTATGTAATTTGTTTTATGGCACATTGACTCCTATATAATGGTCTTGTAGTGCTAAACAAGAATTTTCAAGTAGATTCTTAAGGTCTTTATTCCCATCTCCAAGGTTCTGATTTTGAATGTGGTTTTATGGCACATTGACTCCTATATAATGGTCATGTATTGCCAAACAAGGATTTTCAAGTAGATTCTCAGTCTTTAATCCCCTCTCCAAGGTTCAGATCCTGAATGTGGTTTTATGGCACACTGACTTCTATATAATGGTCATATAGTACCAAACAAGGATCTTTAATTTGTATAGTTATTAATCCCATATCTAAAGTTCTGAATGTAGTTTTATAGCACACAGACTGTTATACAGTGGACATGTATTGCCAAAGAGAATGTTGTATTTTTTAAAACCTGCTACAATGATCACAGATATTCAAAACAATCTGAAATACCCATTCTTTGCATTGCTGTCATTGGGCACTACTTAAATAGACTGGTCCGTCCACTCATAAAAAAATAGTGAAAAGTTTTTTTAGGAGATAATTTTTGTGTATTAGCATTGTTTAGCCCTTCGTAGGTCACAATACTTACCAGAATTAAAAAATATTAATGTTTTATTGACTTAGAAGCTTGGTGGGACGTCCTTTTTATTACATTAATACAGTATCAAATTGATTCATGACTTTTACAAAGTTATTGCCTTTAGGTATTTTGCATATGAAAACATACTTTCTTTAGGTGGAGTTACAAAAAGTTTCTTTTAAATAAAGAACAAATGGACACATACATTTTAAGTAAAGAACAAAAATTTACATAAATTAATAAAATTATGTATCCATTTATTCTTGAGATAAATAAATATGAAACACAGATTTTTGTGCATGTGCTTCCAAAGAATTTGCATATAAAAAAGTTTTTAAAAAGTTTAAGAGAAGTTTTAAAAATTCTGAAAATATAAAAATATATGAAGATATCAATGATGTTAGCATTTTCAACCTTGACATTTGCAAACAACTTGCTAAGTATCAAGGCCAATAACTCTGTAAAAGTTATGGATCGATTTAACACTGTATCAATATTATAAACAGGACCTCCTTTCTAAAGGGATAACAAATCTATATTTTTTTGATTCTGACAAGTGTTGCAGCTTAAGGAAAGTCTAAATAATACTAATCTACAAAAATTATTTTATAAAAATCCTTTTCTCTATATTTTATGAATGGTCCAGTTTATTTAAATAGGACTGAAAATTGCTATATTCTTTAAGTTAGAGTATTTTAACTGTATTGCCCTAGCAAAAATCTTGCTATGATGTGCCCATTTTTGCTGTTATAGTAACAAACACACCTACTGGCAGAAACCAGATCATCAGAATATAAATTATTGGGGGCAATAAAAAAAAAAAATCTTCTGTGCCAACTCGGGCATATTAGGAAAATCTTCCATGTCTTTCAAAGTTACTGTTCTTTATTATTTGCATAATCAGTTACAAGTTACTGAGGATCATAATTATTTATCTTAATAATAAACGGAGACATAATTTTATTAATTTTTGTTCTTTACTTAAAAATGTGTCTGTTTGTCTGTTATTTAAGAAAAATCTTTTTGAAAGCTCAATTCAAAAAAGTCTGTTTTCTTATGCAAAACATCTAAGTCCAATAACTCTGTAAAAGTCAGATTCGATTTGACACCATACTGATGTTAGAAACAGCCCACCCACCTTGTAAATCGATAACAAATCAATATTTTTTTTATTCTGGCAAGCATCTAGGCCTAAGAAAAGTCAAATGAACGCTAACCTACAAAATTTATTTCATAAAAAAAAAATTCCTATTTTATTTACGAGTGGACCAATTTATTAAACTAGTGTTCTGTCATTGTTACAACCTTTTGGCCTTTTTATTCTACAGCCTGCTTCATGTTGCTAATCTCTAAGGAGAGAGGGAAGCATTTCTATTTACAGAAAAAGGTGGTAAGTTGGCTAAGAAATTTGATCCTTGTTTTTTTTTTTGTTTTTTTTTTATTATTATTATTATTATTATTATTGAAGAAAGTTGTCAAAAAGGATTGGCTGAAATTTAGAGGCTTGAATTGATAATGTCTCTTCTAAAAAATTATAGGAATTTTCTGAAATTCTGTCAAGATTTTTTTTTTTTTTAAACAACATTTTAGAAACAGATGTTCAATTAAAAAAGAAATGATTTCTTTAAAATATTTTTCAGTTTTGTTCAATTAAAATTTCAATCCATGGAAAGAAATGAGTTCAATGTGGTTGTCACTGTAGAAGGAACTGGAAGTCATTTGGGACAATATGTCCATTTCGTGTTCTCGGTCAACAGACTGGGAAAATTCATCAGGCCCAGTAGGACCACAACCACCTATCAATCTTGTCCGATACCCGGGGTGAACCATCAACTCACATGTTGGTGGACTCTTCAACCAAACTTGGGAGGTCAGCGTAGAGGTCAGAGGTTTAAGGAGGTCCTGCAATCGTTGAATGGTCATGTGTTTGCCCATTGTAGTCAAACCAAGAAATGAGTCAGTGAAACTGAAAGTAAATAAAATTCAAAGTAAATAACATAAGAGTCAAATTTCATTATGTAAGTCAATTTGCTTTTGCAATTGTTATTAACCAACATTTCAGGATATATTACATGATAAATAATAATATATTACACAGTGTAACCCGGATATAAGAGAGTTGACGGGACCGGAGAAGAAGTCTCTTTTATCCGGGTTACACTGTAAATAATATATTATATAATAAATACTATATTACATAATAAATAAATCTCTATCTATAAAAGGCAGGATGTGTGTGTTTGTGTGTGTAACAAATGCACGGCCACAACTTTCGATGGATTTGCACCAAAATTTACATGCACATGCTCCAAGTTAGCGGGAAGGCCAAGACTAACTTTGCATTTCCCAACTCCCATCGATAGTGGAAATAATCAATTTTTTTCATGCTTCTACAGCAGTTTTCATGTAGTTTGCAGCCATTTTCTACTGGCCAGAGTGAGAGCCAATAGCTGGCTGCCACGAATAGGCAGGAAGATTCTATTGGCCAGCATGAGAGCCAACAGCTGACTGACACAAATGTTAACTAGCATGCAAAAAACTTGATAGCTGCATTCGTCACAAGTGGGAAAAATTTAAATCTGCATGGCACTTTACTCTAATTGGCTCATTCGCTTGCTTAAACTCAATGTTGATTCTGATTCCGCAGAACTGGGTTCAGTGTGAAAAAGTATTTGTTGTTAACATTCTTTTTTCATTCGGTTTTTCCAGTTATGAGTCCTTTTTTAAAGCTGATCGTTTTGTGTTCATTTTGTTTAGTTCTTTTTTCGTAACAGATTTAATGTTTAGTATAGAAATTAGAAAAAAAATTTGTGTGATAGGCAAGAAGTAAGGCATGTAGCAACATCAGCACGGCAAAGGGCACTCCCTTAAAAAAGGCAAGGAAGGGCAAAAATATTTTAAGTCAAGTGATAGCGATTGCTGTATGAGTCGTCATACGATTTTTGAATCAAGCACGGGCAACGCCAGGCCATGCTGCTAGTACATTATATAATAATTATATAAAAATAATAATATATAACTAATATATTATATGATAATAAATAATAATATATTACATAATAAATAATAATATATTATATAATAAATAAATCTTATGAATTTCAGTGTATAATGTCCATTTGCATTATATTAATAGAATTTTTTGCAATACGCTGATGAATATTGAAATCCTCACAGTATTTAACATTGAAATTATTGCTAACATCTTTTGTCTAGATTTACAAAGTCTCTGTTTCATTCAATTTTGCAAACCAGTTGATGAAATTTGAAAAATGACAAAAACCCTACTTCACAGTTTAATAATTTCTTTGATTTAATTTTATAGGACTTCATGGTAAACAATATGTTTTGAGAAAATTTCTTTTTTTTTTCCCAGTGAAGAATAAATTCTTAGGATTTCTTACTCTTGAACATGCAACATACAACTGGCCATGTGTAAATATTTCTTTTTAGAGCCAAATTCTGACTTTTTGAAGTGTTTGGGCTTGTGATTTGTTTATAGTCTTCACAGAGTGAACTGGAAACTGGATTCTTGTATATATAAAAACTTAAAGAAAAGATATGCAAAAAAAAACAATATTGCATTTTCATTAAATAAATATTTGTTATTTTAATCATTAAATAAGTAGTGGGAGTATTTTCTATGTTAAATAACTTAATTTTTCCAAAACATGAATGAATATTTATTGTACTAAGCTATGCACCCTAATAAAACCAACAGTACTTTGTATGCCATTACCTGTTTTCACTTCTCCCCCAAATTTGGTATGAATCGATCAATGTATGGCTATTTTAGAAGGTGTGATGAACAGATGGACTAACAGAAGTCACAAAATTTTATATATAGAAGCCAAAGAAGTATCAGCAATGTTATTGGTCCTGACCTGGCATCTCAGCATCACTGACTTTCCCTGTGCCTTTTCTACAAATATTTTCATCATAATTGTTCTGACGATCTTTCCTCTTTGCTATCTACTTTTTTATGAATTTAAGCACAGTATACTAGATTGGCAGTTTGGTCCCATCATTTTACAGTTGAAATGACTGGATGTAACCGTAATTTTGTGGAAATTAAATGAAATGTAAATTGTCATCTTCAGTCTCTTTGAATCTTGTTCTTTTATTGTCCTCTCTCCTTAATAATGATTTTTCTCAGATTCTTTCTTTCTTAGTAAACCCTTGTACCTTGCTTGTGGTGAAATGATTGAAAAATTAAATAAATAAAAATTAGATTGAGTCATAAGAGGTCTCCCTTTTTTTGGGATGGAACCAATTGCAAAGAACTAATTATTTCATGGCAGTTAAGAATATCTTTGGAGTACAGGAACACACAACAGAATGATTGAAACAACCGACTCCCAAAAGCTGAACTATGGAAGAAAGGTAATGTTGTGCATGTGGTGGTATGTTTGGTTATTATTCATTTAGAGTTTTTAAAATGCAAAGAAACACTAAATGCACATTTATACATCCAGCAGTTGCAACATGTCCATTAAAGATTGGTCAAAAAGAGCCCAGTGCATTTTCATCAATAGGAAAAATGTTGTTCTTCTCCAGGACAATGCAAGGCTGCATCTAACAAAAATAATAGAGGAACACTTTTGAAACTCGCTTGGTCTGGTATATTCCATCTGATGATTATCAAAACACTTTGTGAGCAAAAAGTTTCTTTCATGAAAACCAGATTCAAAATCAAAAACTTTTTCAAATCAAAACCTGCGGAATTTTAACCAAAATGTATCAAAATTTACCTGATAAGTGGCAAAAAAAGCAATTGTAAATGATAGTGAATATATAATGGAATAAAAATGTAATTGTATTTTTATAGTTTTGAAGAATGAAGTTGATAAGCAGAAAAGGAAATTTTATGGCAGTTAAGAATATCTCTAAAATTTACAAGAACACACAACAGAAACAACAGAATGATTTAAACAACCGACCCCCCCAAAAGCTGAACTCTATGGAAGAAAGGTAATGTTGTGCATGTGGTGGCGTGTTTGGCTTATTATTCATTTAGAGTTCTTAAAACAATGAAACACTAAATTCACATTTATACATCCAGTAGCTGCAACATGTCCCTAAAAGTTTGGTTGAAAAGTGTGCTGTGCTCATCAACAGGAAAAATGTTGTTCCCTCTCCATGGATATGTAAGGCCATATACAGCAAGACTAAGACAGGAAAAATTTTTAACTCTGTCCCAACACACCTATCCTATTCATCTGATGTTACAACAACTGATTACTACCATTTTTGATTAAGGCAAAACGTTTTAACAGTGAAAACTTTCTCTAATGAAAACCAGATTAAAGAGTTTGTTGAAAATTTTTCACGTCAAATCCTGTGGAATTTTACTCAAAAGATATTGAAGGGTTGCTTGGATAAGTGCAAGGAGTCACTGCAAATAATGGTGAATATATAAACAAATAAAATATAAGTGTACTTAATTTTTTAAAGAATAAAGTTGAAACAGAAAATGTAAAATTATTTCTGGCTCAACATAAAAACAAATCACCTTACTCAAGGGCTTGTAGTACTAAAACAAATTCTCGTATATACTCTCGTATAATGCGACCTTTGAAGACATAATTTTGAAGCTAATTTGACTACAGTAAATGGAGATATAGTTTGGTCAATGGTGTAACCAGGGCCAGCAGCACATAAGCTAATGTAATATCTTGTGTATGATGTGACCCCCACCCTGCCTTAAAATTAGCTTCAAAATTAAGTCTTCAAAAGTCGCATGATACACGAATATATGTAGTACATTATAAGGTAATTAAAGTAGATGAGAAAACAACTAATAGCCTGTGGCAATAATCAAATAAAATCAAAATGAAAAGAAAAAATTTAAGGTCTAGATAATTTCTCTTCCTGTCTATAATGCCACATCTACCTATACAAAGAGGAGTAGCACATGGTCTGAGGATTGTTTAAGATGTGAAACTGACAGTCACCATGTAGTGTTGATTCCTATATCCATACTTTTTTATATACAGGATAAGGCAAAAGTTGCACAAAAGCTAATTAATCATGTTTTAAATGTCTAATTTGTTTTGATTGATCCAGTTAAGTAGCCACTGAGGTCTCCAGACCTCATACTTATTTTTTTCTGTGTGTCCATTTGAAATCGGTTGCTTATCAGATGTGGTCAAAAAATATTAAGGAACTTAAAGAATTAAATATGAATGCAGCAAAATGATAGAGGAAACTCTCCAATGTGTTAATGAATCCTGCAGGCACAGAAATGAAATGAGCTTTTGAAAAAGAAGGAGGACATTTTGAACAGCACATATAACAATTAAATAATTAGTAAATAAAATTTGCATGTTAAATATACATTTAAGCCTAGAGCACTAACCATTAATTAAAGCGACAACATTACTAACCCTGGGTATATCATACCTGAGTTTGAAAATATCAAAAAAAATATTAAATATAAATCTTTATTTGAAATATTTTACATGCAGGCACTTCAAACTTTGTACTTTGAGTTAACATTAATAGGAACTGAAAAACATATTTAGATAAGAAAATCAGGTACTGAAAATTGTAATTAAAAATAGGAAAATTTGTGCTGGGTACTATATACCCATGGTTAGTGTTCTAGGGTTAATAAACTACCTCATATGGTGCACAACTTTTATATAAATTATATATGTATATAATTAATTAAATTACAAAATGGCGGTGGGGGTGGGGAGAAAATATAACAAATAGCAGTTATAATTCAACATATAGAAATGCTAAAAGATACAGGAACACTTGGCTTTAAATTTTAGTATCCAATGTATCTAAATGTGTAACGGAATTGACCTCATTCAACTTGTTTAGATTTTTAGTGTAAATCCACTAATAAATAGGATTCTATAACCATCTATTCACACGATAACAACAACAAAACCTGAAATATATTAAATATTGATATTTAAGAATACTTATGATTTGTAGCTAGCCCTCAATATTCAC